AATCTTTATCCCTTCTGGGAAGAACAAATGGTTTGGGGTCATGTGACAGGAAAAGAAAAACCCAGGTGGAAGCAGAGCTTTTCTAGCTCAGGTCTAGACACTGCCATGGCACACCTCACTGCCTTGTTCTTAACCTCACAGATGTGTGGTTACAGGAGGTCCTAGTTACACTAGTTACCCTCAGGGAGACTGTGATGGGATTCTCAGGCAGAAGCATGATTTCCAGGACTGGACTTGACTGAGACATAGTCCTTTTTTTTTTTTTTTTTTTTCTCACTTTGTAATTCAGGCTGGCCTTGAATTCACTATATAGCCCAGGCTGGCCTCAAACTCATGGCAATCCCCCTGCCTCAGCTTCCGGAGTGCTGGGCTTACAAGCATATGCCATGCCACTATATATGGCTAGCTCAGACACAGTCTTAATGTGTAACTTGCCACACTGCTATCAGATTTAACTTCCCTTGTGTGTGCATATGACCTTTATGACAAAAGCAAAGAGGGTCTAAGAGCACACACTTCCTAACTTTTGGGCAGGGCAAATTCTTAGACTGATTTTCATCACCTGTTTAGATTGAGCCTTTTATTATTATTATTAAATTATAGGGCTGATGAGAACAGTGGGGTTTAAGTCTGGTGGGGCAAATCCAGAGGCAAGCCCTGGGGGATTTGGACTGTAGTTTGAATGTTGTTCTCAGTGGCTCTGCAATCTTAAAAAATCCCTTGGGATTCAGAAGGACTCACTGGGCTTCTGGATCTTCATGGTAGGTACCAGAAGCACAGGTGAGATGTCTGCAGACAGAGGGAGGAGAATAAAGCTGCACAACGACCTCTCAGTGGAGGCGTTCCCTGCCTTATGCTTAGGGTTTACTTATTATTAGTACCTTGGTAAGTGTGGGTGCTAACACTGGAAGAAATACAGCAGGATCAAGAGGCAGTGCCTGAAAGGACCACAATCCCAATGTGGTCCACACTGCCAGTGTGCCCAGGACCACGTACAAGCTCAGCACTGCCAACGCACTCCACACGGCAGGTGAGCTCCAGAAGGCTGTAGTAGTGCAGGTAGTCCTGAGGCAGTTGTCAACCGCCTTGGGCTGAGGCAGGGAAGTCAGTCACCAAGATAGCACTGGAGGCCAACAGCGCACAACTGGCACCACTTCAATAAGTAAATGTGCTAAAAGTCACCTTAAAGCTCGGCTTTCTTCTTTGCAAGACTATCCAATGACCACCTTTCTGCAGGAACTCCCTGACATCTTTACGCTGGTGCCAGGGTCCTAAGCAAGCTGCTCTGACATCAGAAGTGGCCATCCAGCCTGCCTTTGCTGTGTGCTTTCTTCTGTGTATCACTGGCGAGCCAGCCTGTTGAATGCCTCTGATAATGGGGTACTCACCATTCCCAAACTAGTCTACCCTGCTTTTATGTCACTTCAGGATTAGAACATGCTTCCTCATCATGGTGGCCTTGTCCACACCCCTTTGTTCTGCTTCTGGACTCGGTCTTGCTCTTTGTAGCCACAGAGACACACCCTGTTCCAAGGCTGAGTCGTGTCTCTGGCCTGCTCCCTGGACTTCCGTTGGGTGTCCCACCCAGATACACCCAAGGCTGCTGTGCAAAGCATGAGCGTCCACAAGGCCTCCCCCAGATCCTGTGGCTTGGTTGGTTCCCCTCACATTTCCTCACCGTCAGGCAGTGTCAGGAAGGGTCATCAGCACAGGTGGAATCAGATGGCTCTTAGAGGAGGCTGAGGAGCTCTGGGAAGCAAAGTGAGTCTGTACCATGGTAGATCCTACAGACAGGGACCATACACCTCTCACATAATTGATGGCTGTGTAGATGCATTTTCTTTTTACCTTGTATGGGATGAGTGAAAATGCATGAGTCCGTTTAAAGCAAATGACTCCATAGTCACATCATCTGTGGAGGGCAACACCTCTGAGCACATTCTATACACCAAGCCCATGCATATAATAGCTAGTAACGTACTTGGGGTGGGGTAGATGTGCAGTGTCTTCATTGATTGCTCCAGTTAATTCTCTTTCAATTCTAGAGATCTTACGCAATCAGTGCTTAGAAAGAGTAGGGTGTCTTCCTAGGCTAAAGGACAACGATAACATCAGAACATTACAAAACAAAGCAGACACCCAGTAGCCTTGTGACCCTCCCATGTTACTCCATGTCCTGTCAGGAGAATGGTTTTCTTGTGTGTGTGTGTGTGTGTGTGTGTGTGTGTGTGTGTGGTAACTGGGGATTGAACCCAGGGTCTTTGTACTGAACTAATTCTCCAGCCATTTTTTGTTTTGGGGCAGGGTCTTGCTAAGTAAATAAATTTCCAAGGCTGGACTAGAACTTCCAGTCCTTCTGCCTCAGATTCCTAGAGTGCTTAGATTACAAGTATGCTGCCAAATGGAAAATTCCAGGAAGAAGCAAGCCATTGGTTTTAAAACACATGTTGTTTTGCATCATTCTTCTGTGTCCCACCCAAGACAGGGATTGTCCCTTTGGCTGGTGTTTCTACACTGTACTGGTCACTTCTTGAGGAACCATGTGGTTAGCAGATCAACTCTCATGGTCTTGTGGTGCTTGTACTCAGTTGCTCTCGAACAACGCTAATGCTACACCACATATCACAAGCACTCTAATCAATGATTAGGTCTTTCTGCCACGGCCAGTCCCCTGTCTGAATCATCACATGAGATAAGCAATCCCTGGGCTATTCCAAGAGACCTCAGTAGTATAAAGTGTCAGGGTTCACCACGCCAATCCTATTTTTTGGGAATTCCAGAGTTACAGGCCACCTTTCAGGAATTGAGACAAAAACCAGACAGATTCCTGCTTATTCAGGTTAATGATGTGACAGACAGAGAACATGAATAAGTGCAGATGCATCACCAACTTCTCAGGAGTGTCCTCTGCTGCCTCCTGCCAAGCCCCACCCATACATGATGGACAGCCAGTACCAAGTCCCTAGGATGCTAGTGAGGGCCGTTGCCTTAAAACCATCACTAAGTACAAACAGGACCTCTAGTTCCAAAATCTCGTTCCAAATCGGTCTTAGTTACTTTCTTCATTTCTGACACACAATACCCCAAACTCACAATTTAAAGGAGGAAAGGTTTATTTTGGCTCACAGTTTGTAGATGTTTCAGTGTGTAGTCAGTTGGCTCCAAGGGACGGCGGCATGGCAGAAAGGCATGGTAGAGGAGAAATTGCATGACAGGCAGGAAGCAATGTGTGGGCTCAAGGGAGGATGAGGATATACATAATTTTCAGGTCACACCTACAGTGATCCACCTCTTCCCACCAGGCTTTACCTCCCAATGTCACACCCAGCTGTAAATCCATCAGTGGACTAATCTTGCATCACATCCATGATCCAGTATCACACACCCATGATCCAGTTACCTCCCCAGCCACACCTGTGAGCACATGAGGCTTTGGGGGAGCATCCAGTTATAAACCATAACAGCACTTATGCATAGAATGGAGCCCATTATATGTGGGGATTGCAGAGGATGGATCCCGTGTGGGTTTCAGAGTTCAGGTAGGGTAGGGAAGGTGTCTGTGTGGTGGAGATACAGGTAGTGGATTTAGCATCCAGGCAATATAATGGTAACATCCTTACTGAGGTTTGTAGGACCTAGATGGGCTGTCAGAGCCCAGGCAACCTGAGAAATGTGTCTGGGCAGAAGGTAGCTCTGGTGTGAGATTCAGGCTTTGAGCAGGATAAGGAGGCTGTCCTCTTAGCGGGACAGTGCTGTGTGAAGGTCACAGCCTTACAGGGTACAGAGGGCTCCTACTCATAGGATGAACCTATGTGGGTATCAGAACACAGGGAGGGGAAGTGACGGGCTGTGGGATCAACATCAGGAGTCAAGAGGCTTCTCTGCAGAGGGTGGCTGAGAACAGGGTGGCAGAACTTTAGCAAACTGCGTACATCCTTGAGGGGATGTGGTCTGGCTCTGTGCAGAGAGAGGAGGGGATCAAGGGAGGTGCTTGGGCTAGGGATTAGAGCACAACCAGGGAGAGCTGGGAAAGATGGCGCAAAATGTGGGAGATCCATAACTCCAGACAATCAAATGAATAAGTTAAACATAATGAACACGGGTTTCTTACTGTCACAGGAGTTAGACATATTGAAATGTAGAAAACTAAGATGAAATCTGTGGCGCTGAATTGGACTTATAAACCTTACTCTGAACATATTTTTCAGTGTACTTAAGCAGATAAACAAATATGGGTACAAAACAGGAATATATGGAGTAAATCTCGTGTGTGTGTGTGTGTGTGTGTGTGTGTGTGTGTTACGTGTTAAGCAGTGGGGAACGTTGAAGAAGAGGAATCATTTGAGTAGAGTTTAGGGCAGAGAATCTGGGCATGAGTTGGCAGGTGGTCTGTGGAAATGTCCCACAAGAAAGATTTAGTTATCAAAGGGTTTTCTCGTTGGCAAGTTTATCCTGGTCTACATGTGATTCCATTTAGTTTTCCTAACCAGTGAAAAGTAATTGTGTGTGTAGAAGTGCCTATCAAGGTGGTGTGGAGATTAAAGGGATAAAGAAGTGTGGTGTGAAGGATGGCCTCCTCCCCCAACATCTAACAGAGCTGTTTTCAGTTCTGGAGGTGACTAGTACCGAAATGAACGGAGGTGCACAAAGCAGCTACTTCGGAACAGCAGGAGGAAGCAGAGAGCACAGAGGAGCAGATCAGAGAAGTCAGACATACTATGTCTTCCCCACCACACCAGAAGGAGCTAACTCCTAAATGGGGATTGACTGAAATGTGAGTTTGTACCTTTTAAAATGCGGTACGAAGAAGTTACCTGCTTAACCAAAAATGATGAGGTAGATGTTAATGTAGCAGTATTTTCTCAGGCTTTTTGTTTCAGAAGTAATTATATTTGCATGTGGAAGTACTTTTGTGGTGCTTTCTAGACTTATCTAGCTCTTGGTTCCTCTTCTCCTTTCCTTCCCGTTTTTTCCTTGCCTTTTAACTTCCTACTTTTTAATATTTATTTTCTTTTTCTATTACAATTCTGAAAACTAGACCTTTCTCGATGGCCCTCATGACTTCGCATTTGATTTTTAGTTCCCAGGAGATACTTCTCTGAAGTGCCTGTGGATTTGTACAGTTGAAGGCAGGAAAATTTACCACATGTTTGGTCTTATTTATAACATATTTTAAGAGAGGGATGAAATAGATTTTCTGAAGAAAGCAAATCTCTTCTCAACATGGCTTTGGAAGCTATTCATGCTAAAGGTAGGTCCAGCAATGAATCCACATTCTCACACACCAACTCTGCCTCTCCTGCAGAGCCTCTCTGTCCATGTTATAGTGGATGGAGTCATTTTCTAGTGGAAGAGATGACCGATGAAGAAGGGTTAATGAATAAGGTATGGTGGGGCTAGTTGCTGGTTTTCTGAGTGGTTGTGCCTGGTAAACACAGGAGTCTCTACAGACTGAGTTGCCTGTGCAAAGGGATAAAGAGGCTATAGAGTTGTGTAGTGGGGAAAGAGTGTTAAAAAAGATAAATATAATAATATGAAAAAATGCTCATGACACATTGTAAAAGAAAATAGCAGGTCAGAATTCAGTGTTTATGGTGTGTCAATTGTGTAAAAATATACTTACATGAATATATATTTTAAAATTACTGAAAGGATATGTACCAAATATTAACAACAGTTTCAGATGGTAAGAATTCTTGCATTTCTGTAGTTGGCAATTTCTATAATGCACATGATTATTCTTTCCTTTTTCTATTTTTTATTATTTCAGATGTTCACACTATTAGTAAATATGTGTCATGCAAAAATAAAAAAAAAACCCCAAGAGAAGAGGATAAGGAGAGAATATAAGGACAAAATTTATCATTAATGTAACAAATTTGGTTTTTTTCAGCTCCCCAAAAGAGGATCTCCCCCAGAAAATATAATCCTGCCTTTTTCAAGCTACTGTTTGCTTCACTGCTGATACTCTTCCTGCTGAAGGTGACCTTATCATCTGTCATTTGCATTGTAAGTGTGCCATCTGAATCAATTAGCAATGTGTGCCTTACAAGAAGAGGAGTCAGCCCATTGGAAACTGACATTTAACAATGCCCTTATCCAGACATCTGAAAAATACATTTTCTCTGGGTAAATAGAAGTTATGAGAATCCACAGTAATTCTTTTTTTATGGATCTAATTCCCCTCCTGAAGAGATAATGGAATTCATTGTCTTCACATCAGTTGAAGAGCAGATGTGTGTATGTTGGATTTATAGAGTGAAATCTATTGGGCAGCATCTCTGTATCAGACGCTGTGTAAAGACAAATCTAGATGTCCCTTAGTGGCACTTATGAGACCAGCTCTATTTGGGTGCTCAGACACTTTAGGTTTTGGGATGAGTGGGAGGGCAAGAAATATTCCAGGGGGCCGGGGATATAGCTCAGTGGCATAAGTGCCTGCCTGGCAAGCGCAAGGTCCTGAGTTTGATTCCCGGTACCAAAAAAAAAAAAAAAAAGAAATATTCCAAAAAATATTCTGCAGTGAATTTCTTTCTGATAATTTTGCCTTACCAACACTGTATGAGGTCCAAATGCCAATATAAAAATGAGTAGAGCCTGTAATACCAGCACTTGGGAGGCTGAGGCAGGAGGATCATTGTGAGTTTGAGACCAGTCTGGGCTACAAAGTGGGTTCAAGGCCAGCCTGAACTGCATAGCGAGACCCTGTCTCAAAAAGACAAAAACAAACAAACCCTCAAGACCCTAAAAACCCCACCTCCCAAACCCCTCCCCCCAAATTAAAAATGAGTAGAGTTCTGTATATTTTGGTTTCTGGAATTTATCAAAAATTTATAAACGATTAAGTTAGCATACTTTGGTAAATATTTTATTTTCATTCACTTGTTCATTCAGTGAGCACTATGTACAAAGTTAACTTATGTCACTAGTGTTAGAGATTCACAAAGAGCCATGGCCTCAAGGAATTTGAAGAATAGTCAAGTGGACTAGTGCTTCCACTGTAAGGGAAGTGTCATGCAGGTGAGAAGTAAGCACAGGGGCTGAGACAGACTTTCCAGAGGAGGCAGCATCTAGAGTTGTGTACCAAGGATGGCATAGACATACGAGAGCATACAAATAGGAGAAAATATAATTATACATAACAAGAAAAGAAACACTGTACAAAAAACTAAACTATGAAGTTGTAGGTGACAGACGTAAACGGGACTCTGATCATGAAGACTGTTAGATATCATTTTAGACTGGTTTTTCCCTGCAAAAGTTTATTTTATGCAGTATCTTCTGCTGCTTAATTAACCTGTCTAACACTTAGTCCAACTTTTTTGCCTATGTCATGCATCTGTGATTTGGCCATTTAGACTAGTGTCAGTGGGGAGGGTCCTGTAGGGCTGGATGAGCTCATTCACACATATGAAGTCAGGGAACCATCACAGGAAGAGGAAGAGGAAGAAAGAGGAAGAGGAAGAGGATGTCAGCAGGAACCACAGGGATAACTAGGCTACTTTCCCACCACCCTTCACTAAGCCAGGCTGGGCTTGTTCGCCTGGCACCTTGCAGACTTCCAAGGCTGTGGTGAAGTAGTGGAGCCCCCTGAAGTTTCAGCTTGGGTCTAGTGCAGAGCTACTGCTGCATGTTCCGTTGGCCAGAGTTTTAAAGGTAGCCTGGGTTCAAACAGTGGAGAAATAGAACCTGTTTCCTGACTGGGGAAGCTGCACTGTCCTGATGGAAAGTGGTGTAGACATAGAGAGAGGGTTGAAAGTTGTGGCCATTTGTGCAATGTGTCACAGTTACGAAGTTACTAAAGAATTGGAAGCAGGAAACTGCTGTAATCCAATTTAGTTATAGAAGTGTGCTTTTACAGAGGTGTGAAAATGGAGGCAGTGAGGAAGTTAGAAGGCTCATTCATGATGCAACTGAGACACAGAGCTTGAACGAAGAGAGTGAAGAAAAGGAAGAGGAGCTTTGGCTGACAGAGGAGATAAAGTAGGAGGTGGAAGCGTGGTGAATATGATTAAGACCTGGGAGTTAAGGGACCCAGGAAGTTAAATGCATCTCTAATATTCTCACTGAGTAAACTGAGCCATCATGAGGTTAGTAAAAAAGGTAGAAATATAGAATAATTAGAAGGCTTGGGTTGAAAGGTGATTTAAGATTTGGGCATATTGAGTTCCATCTGAAATATACTGTACCTCTCATCCAATTGTATGAGACATATCGCATGGATTCCAGGAGAGAGGATGAGTTTTGGAAGTCATTTACATATAGGCAGCAGGTAGCAAATGGGAAATGTGAGATTACTCCAGAAGCAGATGTAGTGCAGGAATAAAGGAGAAGAATGGAACTCTGGGGAATGTTCCGTTTTAAGAGAGGGATGGAGGAAGCAGAATCAAAGAACTGTAAGGAGCAAGAGCAAGAAAGGTGAGGCCAAACATGCAGAAGCAGTGTGCCAAGGGTTAAGCAGCAGGTGAGCTGAAGTCCAGTGTTCCAGGGTGTCCAGCAGGAAGATGATTGGTCATTGGTCCTTGCATGTTACTAACGACCCACTTCAAGGAACGCAGAGGCAAAAGCTGCAGTTTCTCTACTGACTCAAAATCCTGGAACAATCCTGGTCAAATGGCAAATGGGTGGTAAGGCAGAATGAGAGAAATTCAGCTTCTAAAGGTGGTTGAGTTAGTTTTAACTTTGGAGAGACAGGGATGTGCTGGTGTCCTAAGTCACAGCAGTGAGGTAGAGAGGTAAAAGAAAGAAGTCCTCTTGATAAAATTGGGGTGCTTTTAAAACTTTCTGCACTTGAACTTAACTCAGAGTTCCTCAGAATTAGACAGTTCCTCCCTCATCCTTGATTTTCCCTTGGCATGTATCTTATATAACATATAGAAGGAGATATGGATAAGTCCTGCTAGACCCACTAAGATGAGGCTGTCATGCTCTCTTTCAACTACTGAACTTTCAGCTATTTTTGTATGTGTCTATGGCTTCAACCTCAGTAGGAATAGGATCCCCTGGATTGTGGAGTTATGGGAAATTAGTTCCTATCACTCTGACTACTCAGTTAATTGGATATTTGTAGACTTTCTTTTTTTTTAAAGAAGCAAGGAAGTAATTTTAACTTTTTATTTTTTTTGCCTTTTTGAGACAGGGTTTCACTATGCAGTTCAGGTTGGCCTTGAACTCACTTTGTATCTCAGGCTGGCCTCAAACTCACAGTGATCCTCCTGCCTCAGCCTCCCGAGTGCTGAGATTACAGACGTGTGCCACCACACTCATCTTAAGGGAATAATTTTTAATGCCCATGTCTTGTACTCTGAGCAACTACTTTAAGGATAACAACATGCAATGTATTAACTATTGTTATTCTCCTATTATTTTGTTATGAAATTTTATTTTACATTAAAAATAATCAAGAAAGTAAGAGTTAATAGCATACTTATTAGCTAGCATGAAATGATTTGATTTTATTGTTTTCCAGTTTTTTTCCAAAAATGTGCTCAGCGTGGAGAAAAAAATGACTGTAAAAGGACTGGTGCACACAGAATTGGAGTGTGTAAAGAACAATTTGACTACCGAAGGTAAAACTTAATGTGTCTACAATTGCAAGGCTGAGTATAGTATGCAAAGCTCCCATCTAGTATTTAAAATTAGATTCACGGGAAGATCATACTGATTGAATCTTATGATTATTTCATTCTGCAAGTGTACAAATATATCGGACATGCAATTCTAATATGTAGATTTAAATTTGTCTGTGCAAGGCTTGAGTGTGGTAAAGGTTACACTACTTTTGGATTTATTCAGCCTTTGCTGCTTTCTGAGCTTTCTGTCTCACTGTTCTTTCTCTCACATCTCAGTTAAAACCACTTGATGAAAATGATGATGGTGACTACTTCATTATGAATGCGAAGTATTAAGAGGAACACATCATTGAGAAAAAATTGGTTTACTATAAAATTGAGCAGATAATATGAAAAGACAATATTTTAAATAAAACATGCACACATAATATTCCCTAATACTAACATTTTACTTAAGTAAGGGACTTTGTTACAAACTAATAAATTAGTATTGATATATTATCAGTAGAGTTCAGAATACATAAATATATAATATATAAATAATATATAATATATTCAAATTATGTATTATATATAAATGATATAGATTATATATTATATTTCATTATAGTACATAGAATATATATGAAATAATATTATTTAAATTATATATGTATATATAATTTCTTTTCAGTTTTCACCAGATGTCCTTTTCTGTACTAGAATACCATTCAGGACACCACGTGACTGTCTAGTTTCCTTTTGGCTGTGATAATTTTACAGACTTTCCTTATTTCTGAGGACTCTGATAGATCTGAGGTTTACTGGTATGGCATATTTTGGGATGTCCCCTCATAAAATGTTTTCTTTATGGTTAGACTGGGATTTTTGGTATTTGGCAAGATGTTCATAGATGTAAACTACTATATACCTCATGTTGTATCCAAGATATATGTGTGTGTGTGTGTGTGAGTGTATATATATATATACATACACATACGTACATTTCTTTTTTGCTATGGTTTTTACTGTTGATGTTGACCTTACTCATTCAGATGAAGAGTTTTATTTAAATTTTTCCATTATAAAGCTGCTCTTTTTTTCTCTCATTTCCACATGATACTTTTGGAAAGAATTTACAGATTGAAGAACCATACACCCTGTCCTTTAGCATGGAGTCTTGTATTAGGTTTTTCTAGAGAAACAGAACCAGGAGAATATGTATCAGACATTATTTTTAAGGAATTGTCTTATTGTCAATTGTGGCTCCATAAAAAGTCCTAAATTTGAACAAGGCAACCAGGTGGCTGAAGATGCAAAGGGAGGGACAGTTTGGGTCAAAGATTGTTGCGGAAGAAGGCCGTGTGCTGGAGAATTCCCTCTTGCTCAGAGCGAACATTCTTTGTTCTCTTCAGATCTTCAACTGAGGGGATGAAACCCACTCACACAATGGAGGGCATCTGCTCTCCTGAAACTCCACCAATTACAATGGAAATCTCATTCAAAAGCATCCTTGAAGAAATATTTAGAATGTTAGACCAAAATACATAAAATTAACCATTAGAAGTATCCACATAGTTCACTTGAAATTGTTGTGCATGTGAGATTTGTTTCTTGAATCTGATTTATTAATTTATTCAGTAATTTGCTGGGCATGGTGGCACACATTTGTAATCCCAGCGTTTGGGAGGCTGAGGGAGGAGGATTGCCATGAGTTTGAGGCCAGCCTGGACTATAGTGAGTTTAAAGCCAGCCAGAATTGCATAGTGCGACCCTGTCTCAAAATTTTTTTTATATTTGCATGTATTCATGGAATTTTTTAATAATTTGGATCATAACCCAATACTTTCTTACCCTTTCATTCCAGCTTTGGCTATTGGGAGCTCCTTCATTTGACTCCTGTGCCCCATTAACATGTCTCCAGCCATGTGTTTGTTTTGCTTTGTTTTCTCAGTTCCATTCTTTGTGGAACTACATTAGCCTATAGGCTTGAGTTATCGATTTCCCGTGCTTATTCTAGAACTCACCATTTTTATGATGATCCTTGGTTTCTTTTATTGAGGAAGAGTATCCTACAAAACTTGACATGTTTTGTCTTAATTTTTTTCATTCAGATTTGTTTCTTAGATTCTGCTCTGACCTATTGACTACGTAGAAGTACATCCTCTAATTCAAAGTATCTGAAGATATTCTTTTCTCTTTCTGTCTTCTTTTTTTACACTGATTTTTAGTTTGCTTTCATTACAGTTGGAGGATACTCTCTACATTTTCCCAATTATTTTAAATCTGTTGAATGGTGTTTTATTTCTAAGTAAGTGGTTTATCTTGCTATATGTACCAAGGACACTTGGGTAGAATGGGTGGCCCCTAGTTGATGGAGTGCTCTAAAAATGTTCATTGGATTTTCTGGTTTATGATAATTTTGAATTCTTCCACTCAGTGGCTTATTTTCTGCATCGTTGTCAGCAGCTCTAATAGAGTATATAAATGTTCTCTTTTTACTGGTATCAGTTTTGAAATCAATATTTCGCACCTGTGTTGGGTTCATGGAGGTTTCGGGATCACAATACACATTTCCCTTTGTGTTTCCTATTCTGCCTGTGCGGTGCAGCCAGCAGTTTTTATTTTTTCCCTGCCTACTTGCTGACTGGTCTGTCCTTTGTTCTGCTGTGGAGTCCATCCTCAGAGCCTTTGAAAGGCTAGTGTATTTTTTAATTATAAATTTCTATTGTTTTTCCTAATGTTTTTTATACCTTTTCTCAGAGTTTCTTTTGTTTCGTTTATTTCAGGAGTGCTTGTACTTTTACACTGAAGCATTTTTTATCATGAGTACTTTAAGATCTTTGCTACATTATCCATAGTTTTGGCTATCTGATTGCTGGCATCTATTGATCAGCATTTTGAAAATTAATTAAAACATTTCTTGGTTCTTGTTGAGTTATTTTCTTTGGACTCTTGGCAACCTTTATGCTATATTCTGACGGGTTGGCTGTATTTATTTGGTTTTTTTTTTGAGACGGGGTCTTGCTATGTTGTCCAGGCTGGCCTTGAACTCCCAGCAATCCTCCTGTCTCAGTCTCCTGCACGCTGGGATTTCAGGCATGCCCCACCACGGCCACGGGGGCTGAGCTGTATTTAAATACTAGGTTTTAGGTTTCTTAAGATGCCTCTGGTGAAAAAGGGGTCCCGACACATGAGTGCCCGATGCAGGGAGCTTTGGCGAGGCTCCTTGTTATATGTGGGTGAAGATGGCAGGTTCCAGCTTCCCTGCAGCCTCCATTGGTCCTTCACTTTAATAATAGACATAATTAAAAAGGTTCTTTTCTTGTATTGCCTTTATATGTCTTTCTTCCCAATAAAGAGAAAGTCTGGAGCTGTTGCCCAAAGAACTGGAAGCCATTTAACTCCCACTGCTACTTTTTCTCTACTGACTCAAAATCCTGGAACAAGAGTGAGGAGAGCTGCTCCAGCATGCAGGCTCATCTACTGGTGATCAACACCGAGGAGGAGCAGGTACTGCCCAAGAGCTAAGAGAGCCTGAGCCCTGTCGCTTTGCTGTCCACGTCCTTTTGTTGATAAAGCATTAGTTTCTAGAAGCATTGTTCTGGGATGTTGGTGCTCAGACAGAAGGCTTCCGGTAAAGTACACAGGAACAACTCCTCACCTTCACATTCCTCATGTTGTTCTTGAAGCAGTAAAGTGGCATTAAAAAGATACTGCATAAGGGTTGCATGGAAGTATGAAAATATTTTAGCATCAATTTCACTATTGAAATATTTTATACATTATAAACTGTTTAACACAGAGGGATAATAAGATGAATAGGGAAATAAAGTTAAGCCATGACCAACAGTTAACAACACAATGAACACGCTTAACAACCAGAAATGAAACTAAAGACTTTCTCACATTATAAAAGGAAAAAATTATGTTTACCAAAGTTTCTTCATGTGCAACTTGAAGACTGCTGTCCTTTAGAGGAAAAGTGAGTCCAAGGAGAAAATTCACTAGGGTCATGGGTAGCACTTGCTCTACTGTGTATGACCATCAGGCTTATAACTGTGTCTCTGTCTCTGTCCTCCTTGTTTGCCCAGACACCTGGACTCCCAGAGGACCCACATAGCTATTCCTGGATCCTCTCTTTTTCTTCTCACTTTTCCTTCATTTTTAAGTATTTATAGTTTAATATTTTCTCCTCGTGAACATTTTAAATGAAATACAAAATCTTTTGGAATAGAGGTGCAGATTAAGGTTTGCAGAAATATATTCAGGTTTGCAGATAGGTTGCAAAGACAGCAGTGTTCCTATTATACCTAAACACAACTTCAACTATTGTTAACATTTTACATCAGTATGGTACTTAAGTCTTAGCTAATAAACCAGTAATACTGCATCACTTAAAAATAAAGTCCATATTTTTGGGGTGGGTTATTTTTTTTGAGACAGGGTCTCACTGGCTGTCCTTGAACTCAGTACATAGCCTAGGCTGGCCTCAAACTTGCAGCAGTCTTTCTGCCTCAGTCTCCCAAGTGCTGAGATGTATTTTCTTTTTAAAATTGCCCTTATTACCCTTTATACTTCCTTCCCCTCCATTTTATTTCCTTCCTCTTATCTACTCATCATCTCTCTTCTACTTTCATGTCATATTTTAAAAATTCTACATATTAGGGAAATTTTGCAGTATTTGTATTGCTGAGTCTGGCTTACTTTGCTAAATATGGTGATACTCAGATCTATCCATTTTCCTGCAAATGACAAAAGCTTGTCTTCTTTTCTCTTGAATGATACACCCTTGTGTTTATATATATTTTTACCATTTATTTTGGTGATAGGCACCAAGGCCAGTTTCATATCTTGGCTATTGTAAATAGTGTTGTAATAAACATGGGAATGGAGCTGTCCCTATGGAATGGTGATTTAATATCTTTTGATATATACTCTACCAGTGAGGGATATAGATTGATCTATATAAGCTCTATTTTTATCCTGTAGGGCCCAGGATATAGCTCAGTAGTATAAGCACCTACCTGGCAAGTGCAAGGTCCTGAGTTCGATTCCCGGTACCACACACAAAAAAAAAGATTTATTTTTATCCTTTAAAAAATTTGTTTTGAGACAGGGTCTCACTATACAGCCCAGGCTGGCCTTGAGCTCACCATGATTCTTCTGGATCAGCCTCCCAACTGCTAGGATTACAGGTGTGAGTCACCATACTTGATTTTTTTTTTTTTTTTTTTATCTTTTTATGGTGCCTCCATACTTATTTCCATAAGCAATGTAGATTTCCTTTTTTCCTGTACCACCAGCATTTATTTATTGATTGACTGTATTCCTTTCTTCCTCCTAGGCTTAACTTTTTATTGAGTTCTAGAAAGCTCAGTAAATTGAACTTCTCTTACAAACATTTAAAAAATAATTAAGTTTATTGGTACATTTTAGATATACATAATGATCATATTCATCATAGGGAATTTGCACCTGTACATGTCTATTTTGATC